TGAGTTTAGAACTAAAGGAAATGCGAAATTTGGTACTAGAATAAGTTAAGTTTGAATCTTGTTTGCCTGTTGGAGTTAGAAGGCACACATTACTGCACCCAAGAACACTCACAGTTTTTTGAGGTAAGAATCTCTTACTACTATGAGACATTCCAAAAAGCTGCTAAATATTGAATGCCCAAAAGAGATGTTTCTATGCTTTATTATACTGTGTGAGAGGAATTTCATGCTTCTGATGTGAGTGGAGATATTTTTCACTCATTTGAATGGATTACTACACCAATAACATCTGAAGTGTGAAATGCGGGACTTAGTGTAGGACTAACTGGGTAAGGCAATGATTTAATTTTAATAAAAATACATGTACATATACAATACGTACATATAGATATGTTCATCCAAAAATGTGAAGCTGCTAGCTAGACTAAAAACACAAAATATTCCACAGAGAAATGAGTGTTTATTATTAAATGTATTTCAGTGAAACTCTCAAATGATTTGTTATTCTTAAGTAGTACGTGTTTTGACTAATTATCTGTGGCCTAAAATGAAGTGGTGGAGGTAGTAACATTTTTTCCTCTGCAGGTGTATTTATCACTCATGGAGATGTTGGAGTAGGGACCATTGTCGGTTCAGCAGTTTTCAACATCCTCTGCATTGTCGGTGTATGTGGATTGTTTGCAGGACAGGTTAGTAAGATGCTTTTCTTTGTGGAGTTCAATTGCTTATATTTGATTGGATTGTATGAACAGGTACTTGAGGGGAAAAAAAAACAAGGAAGAACCATTAACAAAAACACAACAAAGCCAACAAAAAATGAGCTGGCAGCTGAGGAACTGTCAGTTTGGGAAAAATAATATGGAATGCTTTGCAAATAGCAAACGCTTCCAAAAAGTTCAACTGCAGTTTCAGCACTCTGAACGTGCAGCATACAGAAGAACCTCATTCCTCTTCTTACAATACTGTGTCCACAATCAGATCAGGGGCCTCTGCTAATCTTTCCTGGTTCTGATTCTGATTGAAAAAAAAAAAAATTAGGACAAAGTCATTTCTTGTATCTATTCAGTGGGTGGTTAGACTGTGTATCTTACAGTTTTCTGTATTTAGTCTGCTAGTCATCCACAATTAGAATGATATGGGAGCCATTGCTTTGTTGCACTATGAGTTGTACTTTTCAGTTGAAATTATGGTAAACTAAAATATTATTAGTAAGAAATCTATTTCATAAATGGAAGTTTCTAGATTATTTTTATCAACGCTGGTTATTATAGATACATTGTCTAACAGACTGACAAGATCCTGTTAGCATAAAACTATTTGTTCCAGAATGATTGAGCATAATTCTGCTCATGCAACCAAATGATTGCAAGATGGAAGCCATTGTTTTGTCTTTAGAATTGCTTGCTTTCGTTGTCTAAAGCTGTGATATTTTTCAGGTGGTTTGTCTTACCCAGTGGGCTGTATTCCGAGACTCTGTGTACTACACCTTATCTGTTATCATACTTATTGTTGTAAGTAGCTCTCTTATCAATTAAAGAGTTTTATTGCTTGATTTTGGAGGAACTGTTTGCTAAGCATTGATATGTGCTGATTAATGATTATTTTCGTAACTAATTCTGGTGACATCCAGAAGTGAAAACTCAGCGCCACTATATCTGCCAAATACAAAAATTTTATACAGTCTCACAGAATGTGTGTCCATCATGTCAATCCATATCTCATTTTGTACCTATGGTATGTGAAGTTCTGGAGACCAGCAGTATATGGTGCAGTTGGCACTCTCTTCTGACACAGGACTGCTACTGGATATGAGAATTTTTGAGTTCTACCTTGCACCTCTATTTTAAATAGAGAAAGTGTCTGTGTCTTGCTTCTTCACAGTAGTTTTATTTCACAGATTCTGAGTGAATTTTTCTAAATAGAGCACCAGTGAGATATCACTTTGTTTAGAAAAGTGAAGTAGATCTGAACATGCATTTTTATAGTGGCAGGGAAGGGAAGAAGCCACTTAATTTGATTTCTAGAAGTACAGATCACTAGTTGCCTGATCAGATACTGAAGTTAAAAGGCATTGTATAATCATGGGATGGTTTGGTTGGAAGGGAATGAAAACTCACCTAGTTCCAGCCACCCTGCCATGGACAGGTACATCTCTCAGTAGATCAGGTAACTCAAAGTTCCATCCAGCCCACCACTGAACACTTCCTTGGAGGGGGCATGTACAGCTTCTCTGTGCCTACCCACTCTCAGTGAATAATTTATTTCTTATATCTAATCTATGTCTACACTCTTTCAGTTGAAAACCATTACTGCTTGTCCAGTTACTACATGCCTTTTCAAAAAGTCTTTCTCCATCTTTCTTACAAGTTTCCTTTAAGTCTTAAAAGGTTCCAATAAGGGTCTTCTGAGAGCCTTCTCTTCTCCAGACTAAACAAATCCAGCTCTCAGTCTTTCTTTGTAGGAGAGATTATGTATCCCTGTGATTATTTTTGTGTCCCTCGTTTGGATCCACACTAACAGGTCCACATCTTTTATGTTGCTCCAGAAGTGAACACAGTACTCCTGATGGGGTCTCACAGGGATGAAGTAGAGTGGAAGAAACACCTCCCTTGCTCTGCTGGACATGTTTCTTTTTATGCAGCCCAGGATACAATTGGCTTTTTGGGCTACAAGCACACTACCGGCTCATGCCCAGTTTTTCATCCATCAGTACTTTTCTGCCAGGCTGTTCTCAATCCTTTCATCTCCTAGTCTGTACTGGTGTCTGGGATTCCCCTAACTCAGGTGCAGCACCTTTCACTTAACCTTGTTGAATTTCATGATGTTCTCATGGGCCCACTTCTCAAGCCTGTCCAGGTTCCTTTGGATGGCATCCCTTCCTTCTGTTGTGTGAGCTGCACCACCCAGCTTAGTGCAGAGTTGCTGAGGGTGCACTTGATTCCACTGTCTTCCACTGTCTCATTAATAAAGATATTAAGTACTCATGAGTCCAGTACGGAACCTGGAGGGACCCCTCTTATCACTGATTGCCACCTGGACACAGAGCCACTGACTGCAGCTTTCTGGATGTGGTTATCCAACCAATTCCTCATCAGTCAAATAGTCCACCCTTCAAATCCATCTCTCTCCAATTTAGACACAAGGAGTATACAGAGCAGAGTAAAAATGTGTTTTTACTTCTAAGAGTAGAAGTGAAATGTCTCTCACATGCTCACACTGTTCTTAGTCATTACATACATCACACTGTCCCTGTCATTAATGGGGATCCAAGCCTTGTCCAAAAATCTTCTGCTTTAGAGCTATGAGAAGCATAATCCATATGGTGAAGATTCTGGTTAGAAAAGGTCAAAAGGGGAAATCTCCAGTAGCTTCTGGCTAGATATGACTGATACTTATTAAATAAATTTGAATGTTTTCAAAACAGATGAGAGAAATGTAAACTTATGTTTCCTTTTATTTTTCTTTCTAGTTCATATATGATGAGAAAATAGAATGGTAAGTTGCCTAGACTATTCCTTAACATACTGTATTTGCCATGATACTGATCAGTTAATGGTTTTGCAGCATACCTAGATTTCATTCATGTGACCTGTAAACAACACTCAAGAAAGTTTTTCTGCTCTTATTCTAGTTGTTAACATTTACAGTTGTACTAGGTGTCCCAGAGAATAGGAAAAGATGGGATTCCAGTGGAAGATCATAGGCATCTTCTGAAAGAGTCTTCTAAAAGAGTGCCTAGCCTATGCTTCAGCACAGATGCAACAGAATGCCTTGGTGTTGTTGATCCTCAGAGGGCAGCTCTGGTTTCTTTTTATGTAGCATGTTGTTGGAATACATGGATTGCATTTTATTTGCATGTTTATCAGAACTTGATGGGCTTTGCTTTCCCCATCCTCAGACACCATCGAATCTAAAAGATGTGAGTCCTGTGTGCACAAATGTGACTTGAACTAGGTGTTTAATGAACATTCCTATATAAAACTTGTAAAGGATACAGCTGTTTGAGTGGTCTTTTAACTCTTTTTTTTTTTTGTCTCTCTGAGGTGGGAAAGCCTTATACTCATCATTATGTATTCATTCTACATACTTATCATGAAGTAAGTGCTTCTTTCTTCTGTATTTCTTCTCTTTAGATGTTTATAGACCATTTGGTGTGTTTTTGTCCTTGGCTCTCCTCTTGAGAACAATGCAGCCAGCCATTTTTCTATGTATGGTCCCTTGCATTTTCATGCTTAATCACTTTTGTTCCAAATATGTGCCTGCAGTTGGGAACACCGTGTTCGGAGAAGCAGTGAGATAAATTGACAGCTGGTGCAAAAGGAAAGAAGCCATAGTATAGCCATAGTATATCAGCCATGTGCTGATTCCAAAATCCATGACTCCAGTGTTCTGTTTTCCCTGAATCTGATCTGGTCTTTTTTTTGCATTCTGCTATGTCTTATGAGAGAAGTACAGCCCTTGCTATGCTATCACACTGCCACTGAATTGAGTAGTCTTTTCTCTTAACTTCCTATTAGTTGTCAGAGGATGTGCATCTGTGTTTTACTGCTTGCTTGCAGAAATTGTTCTCAGGTGTTTAAAAGTTTGTTGAAGAAATGTAAGAGACCTTTTTTGCACTTTCAGGTACAACGTGAAGATGCAAAATTTCTTCACTCTCAAAAGCAAGAATGTTGGAAATGGTGACACAGTTGACAATGAGATGGAAGATGGTAATAAATGTTATGCCTCTAGTTGTGATGACCCATCCATTCCATTACTGTGGAAAGGTAAGGCTGAGCAGACAGGACTTGGAAAAATAACAGTTCACAAGATATCCCTTTTTCTCTTTAATGATGATTAAAACACTGTTATAATTCTGTCTTAAGTAGGATATTTTGTTGGATTGACTTGAAAATTCAGCAGTCAGGCCACCAGTTGGCAAAAAAAAATCAAAATTATATTTTGTAGAGATTCTGAAAATAAACTGCTTTGCACATGAGCAGTTTTGCTTCCTTTTTCTCTTCTGTTCAGCTGTGGAAGAAATATTTTTTTGCCAAGAAGAAGGTTGTTTTCACTTGAAAAAAAAGAATGACTAGTTTGGAACTAAAAGCTCAAGGTTGAGTGTAGATGGAGAGAAAGGCCACAGATCAGTGGGCAAAAGGGATTACATGTTGAGTTCAGAAGATCTTCAAAAGACTGATTTTGACATGCCTGTATAGCTCTGCATACATTGCCAAGCACATATGTAAAAGTGACCAATGCAGATTCTTCACTGTTTGTTTCGTTATCATAAAGGGTAAGAAGATGACACTCAACATCAGGTACAGCAGGTAAAAAAACATGCCCAGGTTGTTGGTTTTTTTGCTTTTTGGTTGTTTTTGGTTTTTTTTTTCTCTAAGCTTGTTTGCCTTTCTTTCTACTATTCCCTTTTTTTTTTCTATAGAGAAAAATCATTGCTCTGTTCAAAGCTCCAGCTATATCGTTCAGTGAGCTTGAGCGACTCTTTATGAGTGAGATCTCCTTGCTGTGTTCTTAGCAAACATCTCACATTCTAGAAGATGAGCTCAGCAACAATGAAGAAAAATTTGGAAAGGTCCCCATGTAGTAAAAAATAATGACAAACAGGAATTTACAGCAGATGCAGGTAATCCTGCTCTTTTCTGCTTTTGGTCTTATACCAGGATCTCTTAAAAGTAGGTAGCATCACTTGCGCTTATACAGTGATAGCGCACATACTCATTTACGTTGTTTAGACAGCCATTTAATATTGAATTTAAAGTAACTCTAATGGTAGCATAATTAAGTGAAGATGTCTTTGAAATATGTTTGTCTCATTTGCAATGATTTTTTTTGTGAACACTGACTATGATATATTGAAGTCTATCACTCTTACATGGAGGTACAGTCGTATCAAGTTTTAGAGGATACCTGCTAGGGAATTGATGTATTGAGGGGACATAGGAAAAAGGTGATTCAGTATTAGAATACAGATGTTAAAGGTTTTTATTTTTTAGGTGTTTTTTGGTTTCTGATGTCATCTGCATGTATGACAACAAACTTAAGGGTGCAGCTGAATAGGAAGAAGTGATGCCTGGATAGGCTTGAAAAGTGAGCTCACAAGAACCTAGTGAGTCCAACCGACAATGCCAAGTGCAGTGTGTTGCAGTTGGGCTGGAACAATCCCACGTATTTGTACCGACTGGGAGAACTCCTTGAGAGCAGGCCTGCCAAGAAGGTCCTGGGAACATGAGCCAGCAGCTGCTGACATGCTTGCAGTCTAAGGGGACATCCATATCTTGGGCTGCATCAAAAGAGGGGTGGCCAGCAGCATGAATGAGGTGATTGTCCTCCTCTAGTCCACCTTTGTAAGACCCCATCTGGAGTACTGCATCCAGGCCTAGGGCCCTAACAGAAGAACAATGCAGAAATGTTGGGGCAAATCCAGAGGAGGGCAATGAAGATGATCAGCAGGCTGGAGCACCTCTCCTATAAAGAAAGGAGAGAGCTGGACTTGTTTAGCCTGGATAAGAGGAGGCTCCAGAGAGACCTCATTATGGCCTTATAATACTTAAAGTGAGCTTATAAGCTGGAGGGAGACTGCCTTCTTATGACAAGGGAGAATGGCTTTAAACTAAAAGGGGAAATTTAGGTTAGATGTTGGGAAAATACTGTTTACTTAGAGAGTGGTGATGCACTGGAACATGTTGCCTGGAGAAGGTGTGAACGCCTCATCCCTGATGGTGTTCAAGGCCAAGAGAAAGCCAACCATATCCTGAGCTGCATCAAAAGAAGCGTGGACAGCAGGTCGAGGGAGGTGAATCTGCCCCTCTACTCTGTGCTGGTGAAGCCTCACCTGGAGTTCTGTATCCAGCTGTGATGTCCTCAGTACAGGAGAGAAATACACCTGTTGGAGTGCATCCGGAAGAGGGCCACAAAAATGATCCAAAGGATGGAACACCTTTCCTACGAGGACAGGCTAAGAGCTGAGGCTGTTGAGCGTGGGGAAGAGAAGGCTGTGAGGTGACCTGATAGCAGCCTTTCAGTATCTAAAGGGAAGCTACAAGAAAGAAGGGGGCAGACTCTTTAGCAGGATCTATGGTGATACAAGAGGAAATGGCTTCAAACTTAAAGAGAGTAGATTTAGGTTGGAGAGTTCTTAGGATTCCATGATTCTGTTGTATACTTCAAAGATTCATCTCTATGGCCACTCTATCATAGAGGGAAATATCACACACTGCTTGCCCGTCCACCTATTTCCTTTTCATGTAGAAAACCCAGGCACATAGGAATGGTTTTTCCACTAGCTGTTGTCCACTGTAAATTTCTTTAAAGAAAAAAAAAAAAAGGCACTGAGACTACAATTTCAGTGAGATTCCCTTTGCCTTCTTGAGCATTCATTGCAAAAAATACATGCCACATTAGAGGGACCATTGTGAGAAGTGTGAGAGTGTAGGCATTATCACAGTTAAAGAGCAGAGGAGATAAACAAGTTAAGGAGATAATGGAGTTTGGATTGGGTAGTGAAAGATGGTGGTGCCAGCCTAGTTGCTCCTTTGATGGATATGGATACCCTATGTGTCAAGAAACTGTCCTGGAAAACCATCACGTGGATCCCTATTCTGCTTCCCTCAAATCAAAATAGGACACATGCCATGTGCCATATTGGTCACCTCCTGTTAGGTGGCACTTCGCTGGCTTCCTAAGCTGAGCTGCACCTCCTTCAGGAGTGTCTTTCTGAAACAGCAGCACTGCTAATTCACAGTATATATGTAATATGCAGCTCGTTTTTTTAAATTATTTTCTAGAGCTTCCACTGCTACAATATAAAAGCTTCCATTAGTGTAGTTGCACATAGAAAAAGGAGAGCTTTTTGCTTTAAACTGAAGTCACTTCCGAGGGCAAATCCTACACATACAGGTAAAGGTGAAGTAGTATTAGTATTAGGATTAGTACTTTAAATAGTGCTCCTATTTTAAAGCACAGACATGACTTTTCTTATAATTTCCACCAGGTGGCATGATTTGATGCCTGCCTAAAAACAGAAGCTCTTGATGAAAGTGGGGATTTTTGGTGTGATAACCTGGTTAGAGGTGAATTAAGTTAGCAGGAAGCTTTCTGTTGACTTTGGCAGGGCTGTAGGTGAAGTCCCTCATGTTGAGCAGGAAATATGGGAAGTTTGTCAAAAGAAGAAGGTGTTCTCAGAAGATATTTGTCTCAGGAATATCACAAAGGAGAATTGAAAAAAAAAAATTAACTGTTGCGCAATTGTGAAGATGTGGGATTTTTGCAGTTTTTAGATGGAGCTTATTTGTCCTGTATGGGGACAACGTGTCTATATTTATAGGCACATAGAGTAAGACTATAGAGCTGTTATTAAAACCTGTGAGTGATTTGCTGCAGTAAGTCAGAACAGCTGCAGTTATTCATATACATACAGAGATTTATTTCACATCTTTACTCAGTTTTTATCAAGGATGAGTTCATTTTGTCACTGTTCCCTTATTGTTTTAAGAGGCAATTCTAAAGCAACTGCAATGCTTTCATGCTATTTTCGTAATACTTTAAGATAAAGAAGCACTATGGAAACTTAACCAAAAATTCACTTGAGTGCAATTAATCTGATGAGACTTAAAAAGACATCTGGCCATTTTTTCCGGGGATGACGTAAAAAAAATTTTGCATTGTCTAACTATGGCAAATGTTAGCTAATGTGATTGGGCAGTATTCTGCAAGGCCTGATTTCTTCGTAGTTTGTTTGTATATTCTTTCACAGGAAAAGCTACTACACACTAACCGTAAGAGTCAAGAATGGCTGGGCTCCTCGCTTGTATCATCAGTTGAAATGCTCAGCAAGGTGAATTTGTTTTAAATGTCAGAGGGAGAAGTTAATTGCTCCTTTATGTTTGCCAGATGCAAAATGCTTCTAGTTCTCTTCACCTTAAGAGATTTAACTGCAAGACAGGATTACAGAGTGTATTGCTGGGGAAGAACATACTTTGTGAAACCAAAGATCTCTGTTTAACTTTTCAGGTCACCCCAATGTGACAGATAACTCCTTGTAGTCCATTATCTCCTTAACTCCTTGTAGTGAAACAAAGCAACACACTGACATGCAGGAGGGTAAAAGATGTAGCCATTTACTGATGATTTAGAGGCTTGCTGGTTTTTTGTGTTTAACTAAATGGAAGGTTACTTCAGCTTTCAAATAACTTTGTTAGAAGATGCTTTGAGGCAGTACAACCTTTATTGCATAATGTTTTACATGTCTGTATGGATCCAGAAAAACTTATTTCTGACAAACAAAAATATTTCATCACTGTAACAGTGGAAACTACAACTGTGTAGATTTCTGTGTGTTTAGAACAGGTCCATTATAATTCCTTTGCTTGAGTTGAATGTTTCCTTAGATTTCTTTGCTTCCTGGCTGGAACCATGCACTAATATTTATCTTTCACTTCTACCTCCTACATTCTCTTCCTCTTCTTAATGTAAGTAACAATGTAAAAGGGGAGTGGGAGGGTGAAGATAAGCTAAGCAGAGCAGTAAAACAAGGAGCAAATAATTTTTTTTTCCTAATATAATATTGTGTAATAATTATTGCAGTCATGCATATCTTCTGCCCTTTCTAACACCGTATGGGTATGTCTCCTGTCTGCTGAGCCTTGCTTTATGTGCTGTATGTAGTCTGTAGCATTTGTGAGGATATTGATTTGTTGTTAAGCTTTAAAAGTCCTCGCCTATACTTGTGTTGATGGAATATAATTTTATTTCTCTGTGTTCTCACATCATAGAACAAAACCCTTCACCTTGTTACAAGTTCCTTTATATTAACAAAGACTTACTCAAAATATACTTTCTTTTTTTTCCTGTACAACTGCTGATTTTCAGAATTTAAAATCTTATAATGTTTAAGATATGATAGTATTCTCTGCATTCTTTTCCAAGAGGAGCAAATAAAACATTGGGGACTACTTGTTGTGCATCGGTATCTATTAAGCACCCATAGTAAGATAACTTTATAGGTTTTGGGAGTGCTGTCTGTGCTTTCACAATGTGCGTGCTTTTGGAGAAGGCTTACAAAGCCGTGGAAAAATAAAATAAAATGGTACTACATTAGTAGTGGGCATCTGAGAGCATGTTGGTGGCTGCCTTACTGGAGTGAAATCACTTTTCATCATGTGGTCTAAATGAGATGCAACACTGATGAACAAGTTCACCAGGCTGCAGAAATATTGCAGGAAAGTCACTGAAAAATTCACATATTCACTTTAGTGCTAATCCGTGCCTGAAGAGAACAAATTTGGGCAATGGGAAGAGTGGATCTTACAACTAACTCTGTCCATTTGTGGTCATTAGTGAAGGGTGTGCAGCAGTATGGCAAAAACAGTGTTGTGATGGTGGATGAGATCATCTGCTCCAGTCCCCCCAAATACCGGTTCCCTGAAGCTGGGTTACGGATTATGATCACAAATAAGTTTGGACCACGTACCAGAATGCGGATGGCAAGCCGAATTATAATTAATGAGGTAGGTTTGTTACAAAAACAGTAGGTATCTGTGAGGCAGAGGGGTTGCCAAGAAGTCATAGTGATTATGGAATTGAGCTTCTACCATGCTTCTGGGTATGGGCTAGAACTTTCTGCAATAACCTACGTCACAGCAGAACTGAAGGTGAGTTCCCAGTTGGTTATGCTGTCTGTCTTAGTAGAAGGGCAGTCACCAAGGAGAGATTCCCTTCTCTTCCTGCCAGATGTTTGTTCAGTGTGTGTGTATGCACTATTTGGATTTTATCTGCAGAAGAATTGTTTTTGACCATTAGAAAAGTGCTCAAGATAAGAAAGAATAGCGGGCAGGCAAATCAAAAGTCTGTGAGAACTCCTCTTTTATGAGCAGTACATCAGGAGCACAACAGATGTTTGCTTGCCTTTGTAATCTTCACTATAGTCATTGACTCAAAATGAAAATGCACTAAAATCCTTTCGTGAGAGGATTTGCTCTGAACAGTTTTGGTTAGCTCTTAATTAAAGCCTTGTCACCACTGTGTATTGCTTGTTTCATACCCTGCATGCAGCTGAATAGACAGGACTGGCCAAATGACATTGTTGTGACCTTGCATGAAATAGAGTTAACAGGGGAAAGACCAGATAGGACACGAAGTAGCAGCTGTCTCTGTAAAAGCATTTCTTTAGAGCAGTTCATTTATCAGAAATAAATACTTCTTAATACTTATGTGCCCAGAGAGCTGATGCTTGCTAGCTGCTCAACATCTGCAGAAAACATTCTCTATATCAGGGCATTTTGAATCTATATTGTTATGTAGTCTCACTGCCAAAGCTTTGCAGAGTTTTCTCTATTTTAATTACTGTGTTTTAATACTAGATTTCTTTTGCATGTCATTCAGTTACTTTATTTTTCCAGATAAATCAGAGGAGTTTATATGAAGGTGCAGCAGTTTGTCATTAAAAAGATGGCATTTATCAACTCTGTTATCTCACCTAACAAAGTAAATTATTATTTTTTTAATACAAGAGTAGGAAATTATTGTTACATTTCACATTCTCCAGCATAGTAAGTAGTATATATACTGATATATACTCTCACTGTGTATTTTGAATGTAACTGTCTGTAGGGGCAATGTATGAGCTTTGTGAGATTTTACGTGCTTGAACAAGGACACCGCAAGTTAATCTTGCTTTTGAAATAGTACTGTAGTACCTATATTTATGACAAGAAATGGGGATGTGGTGTGTAAGAAAAGATTCAAAACTTTGTTGATCGTGGCTTGCAGTACTCATGCCACTAATTTTGGGGTGTGTGGCCAACACTGATCTCATACAAACAGATAGACCTCAGACAGATTTGCTTGTTGCTGGCAAAGGAAGGCTTTGTGGAGAAACATCATGGCTCACATGACTTGAGCTGGACAGTTCACAAAACCAAGGTGTAAAAAAGTCAAGAATGAAACTTACAGCAGTTTTGTCTTCAATACTGTGCAGCGCCAGCGGTTAATCCAATCTGCAAATGGCTCGAGCAAACCACTTCAGAATGGGAGACATCAGAATATTGAAAATGGGAACATTCCTGTGGTGAACCAAGAGGAGGAAAATGAACAGGATAATCTGTCTCCATTTTCATTGCCAGGTAAACTTCCAGATGCTTACGGCAAGAAAACAAGCGAATTAAAATGCTAAACACAGGGTTGTAGGAATAGACAATATATGTGGGAATAAGAAGAGGAAAGGATATGATTTGACTGTCTAGAGGTTGGATTTCATGACAGTAAAATATGGAGGTTACATGACCAAAAGCAGATCTTAGGGATGTGTGTTCCAATCATCATGCACCATTGAAGTCCTGATTTGCCAGAGGTGAAGAGAAAGCAAGTAAGGTAGGTTTATGTTCAAAAATTTGACACAACAACCAGGCAAAGACTGCATTGCAATTCTGAAGTGAACTCTTAATACTGCTCTGATGGAAATTACAAGTTCAGAGGCAGCTGGGTATATAAATATGTTATAAATTGGTATAGTAACTCTAGAGGAGTCTTAGACAAAGCGTAAGGAGGGTTTAGAAGGAAAAATAATCTTTAATGCTTTTGAAGATTTTTAAGTTCTTAAAATGGCACATTACAGGTTGAGTCCCCCTCATATGTTTTGGAGATTAGACAGCAGAGATTTGATCAGCTATCACAAATATGTAGTCACTAGTAATCTCTCACACACTTACTGTTTAACTCCAAGATTTCGCAGTATAGATGAATATTGCACAGAAACAAAGAAGGAAGAATTTTCCATTTATCTTAGTTCTAATTTCTTTAAGATTCCATTGCTTCACTTGCCATCAGTTTAAAAGAGATATTTGTGACTTAGCAAATAATGAAGCAAGCTATGTGAAGATTGGATAAAACTGTGTTTTAATGTGTTACTGTGCTGGGTTCTCTTAGAGGATCTTCTTGCATTCAGCAGTTACAGGCTTTTACTGAGGTTAAAGGGCAGAAACAAACTCATTCACTACTGATGGGCTCATTAACTGTGCTCCTGATAATCAATGAGAGCATAAAAAAAACTTTTTACTGCATGGTAAAATAAGTGGATCTAAGTCAGCAATACACTTCTGCAAAAAAACAAAACCAAAGCATCTTAAAAATGCAGTTCTGAATGCATGTGTTGGCAAAGATTTTTTAACAGAGGTGTTTTTATCAAGTGTTTTTCAGCAAGTTTTAATTGGACTGCACAATTGTGCATTTATTTTTACATTCCAAGACAGTGCAGAATTCTTAACATTCTGGCAAATATTACCTGGGGATCAAATTGCCATGTTTTGATTTGTTCAAGATTCAGACAACATCTCCTTGAATAAAGAACACACTTTGGAGTGGAGCTTCCTAAGTGCATGACATGCATAATTGACTAAAGGTTTGGAACAAGAAGCATGTTGAGACTTATGTCATTGATCTTCTCTTAATGCAGTTTTTCTGCATTTTTGAGAAAGTCCTCAAGAAAATTAAGTGTAACAAGCCACAGTGGAAACACTGATGATTCAGTTTTACAAGAATGGAGCAAAGGTTCATTGTATATTCGGAATTTGCATAAAAATGTTAATGGCATTAACATCACTTGAATCCTTACCATTGTTTTCAGGTATTGTTATTCCTCTACTGTCTGAAGATGATAATCTATAATCATCACTACTCAACTGTTCACTTCAGTGCCTGTTAAAATTATGGAGAAGATTATTCTTGGAGTTATTGAAAAACACTTGAAAGACAGTGCAGTCATTGGTCATGGCCTACATGGGTTTATGACAGAAAAGTCCTGCATAACTACCTTGCTTTCTTTAATGACAAAGTCATCTTTCTGGTTGATGAGGAAAGCTAGTAAATGTGATCTTTTTGGATTTCAACAAAGTCTTTGATGGTGTCTCTCATTATCAAAATGTCCAGTATATAGCTAACCAAGTACACAGCATGATGGATGAACAGTTGACTAATGGATTAGGCTCAAAGGGTTATAGTAAAAGGGTTATGTGAGACTGGTGGCCAGTCACTAATGGGGATCTCCAGGACTCCATTTTAGTGCCCATTCTCTTCAGGGAACACAATAGTCATGCATATTAAGGATGTTTGCAGATGATACTGGGTTAGGAGGTGCTATTGACTCCCTAGAAGGCAGGGAGGCCTTGCTGAAAGACAAGTCTAATTAAAGGGTTGGGCAAACACAAATCACTTGAAGTTTAACAAGAGCCAGTGCCAGACTGTGCACCTAGAATGGGCCTACCCTGGCTGTGTGTACAAATCGGGCTATGAGAGGCTGGAGAGCAGCCTCACAGAAAAGGATCTGGGAGTTGCAGTAGATGCAAGCTGAGTTTGAGCCAGCAGTGTGCCCTGGCAGCCATAGGGCCAGTGCAGGCTGAGCGGAGGCGTCATGGCGGCTGCGACTCCTCATGGGAAGCAGGGGGGAAGCGCTGAGCTCTGCTCTCTGTGACGGTGACAGGACCTGAGGGAATGGCATGGAGCTGTGCCAGGGGAGGGCCAGGTTGGGTGATAGGAGAAGGTTCTGCACCAGAGAGTGGTGGGCATGCAACAGGTTCTTCAGGGCAGTGGGCGCAGCCCCGAGCTGCCAGAGTTCATGGAGTGTTTGGACTCTGTGTGGAGCCAGCGGTCGGACTCAGTGATTCTCATGGTTCACTTCCCAGAAGGGAAATTCTATGATTCTGTGATTATATTCTGAGGGAAAATTCTTATATATTTACTTTCAAAAGTACATTTCAAATAACTTTAGGGAAAATATAAACAGTATCATTCTTTGTTGTTTAAGTGCTGTGACACAATCAGTAGCCTAAAAAAAATCCTGTCGTTTGAAACTGCCTTTAGGGAAAAGGTAGTTTTGCAGGCAATTTCCCAAAATCCCCTCTATTTTTCTTTTTACGTATTTTCAAGCTATTCTTTAACTACCATAAAGAGCTCTACAAAGAATAAGCACTGAATGGATTTTCCAAGTCAACAGCTTGCGGTGTGATAAGTAGAAAACTCACTCCCATTTTTTAAAGAACTGCAACTGCAAAGTGGCTATAAAGTGTCCCAACCCTTTATTTTCTGTTTTCTTTAGTCATCTATTTTAGCCTATTTTGGAGTTTGGCTTCCCTCCCTCAAATTGTATGTTCTGCATTCTTTTGCAAGAATGCTTTTTTTTCTGAAATTAAAAAAAAAAAAAAAAAAAAAGTTTAAATGCATCATCCTTAAGTAATGCCAGGTATCATTTGCCATCTGTAAGATTTACTTATTGTTCTCCTTTATCCCCTTAGTGATGCTTAGTAATAAAAGGAGGGCTTTAGCACGCAGAAATAGAGGAAAACATTTTTGCATGAAAATAGTTGTAACTCATCTCTAGCCTAGATTCCATATGTCAGACATTCCAAGATATTCAGCCTCAGGGTGTGGTTCAGGCCTGTCTTGGAACAGGATACAGTATGTAGTTTTTATGGAAAGTACATGTCATCATGCAAAACAGCCTTTGTCTCTTGTTTCTCTGTGGGTATAAATGTTCTCTTTGGAAGGGGAATTCCTTTATTGACATAACCGTTAGTTATCCTTTGAGACAAAGGCTGATTTGATGTTGTACTGTTCTGTTACTGTACACTTGTTTGGAAACAGGTCTTAGACTTTAGGGGGGTAAAAAAGGATTAGAATAAAGCAGGATGAAATTGAGCAGGCATATGTTAACAACAAAATGATGTGTAAAAGCCCATGAATAGCTCAGTAATGTTTTAGAGCCCAGACTCAGAAAAGCACTTCTGTGCAGCTCTTAATGGATGCTTAAATCTCATTCATTGTCACATGTTCAAGATCCTTTAAAACACAAAGTGTTCTCAGCCCTTACTTGTTTCACAGAAGTGAAGAATTCCATCTCTTACAGGATTGGACCAATGATGCTTTACATAAGTCATTATGGTGTTAGCTAGAACAGGAATATTAATTCCTGAAGCTAAAATAAAATAGTAGTAAAGTAGATTACCAATCCTGTTCATTTTTGTATGGATCCAAAGTACGAACACAACATATTGAACAGAATCAAAAATGAATTAACTATGTCTACTAAAATTGTAGAAAGTATTTGTACTCAGTCAAAGCAAATGTTCATCTACCCCAATATTCTAAATCCAGCCATGACTGTATGGTCATGGGGAAGAAATCTGGGGAAGAATGAGACAAATTTAGGTCCTACTACCCTGATGGTCTTTCGCTATTTTCAATTTAAGGAATGAGAGAAGTTCTTCCAAGAAGGCATTTCAGACCAGGACTTAACTGCTGTATTCTAAAATGCATTTTTGGGAGAGTTTCTTCTTACATAATGTCTGTGTAATAGCACATCTACCATAGAATTTTATTGCACGAGTTCTTTTGAGGCAGATCTCACTGGTTTTCACATATATTGCCTTTTGATTTGAACTGTATTCTTGGAGCTCATGAAGCAGACTCCATTTGTAGAAAACTAAACTAGAAAAAGTGTTCCAGGAGAGCAGCTAATGTGTTCTATGTAGGAAGAAATACAGGAGAAATTGGCAGAATAATAGGTGCATGTTTAATTTAATAGCTCTATTACGTTTGCTCATCATTTTGAAAGGGAAAAGAAGAACAATTCTGTGAATCCCACTTCTCCCTTTAAAAACATTGATAAAGTAGTTGGCACAGTAAAAACATAAAACTAAATTATGCCAAAATGCAACTAAGTCAAACAATATATAGTGATCACCCTGCTCAGTTACTTTTAATTTTTTTTTTAATATTGTCCTATGTAAACCTATAGTAACTGAGAGTAAAGCTTGGTTCTGCAAATGGTGCAAAGTCATTTTTCAGGTGTACCAGTTCCCAGTACACCAAAGATGTGTCTTTAAGAGAAAAGTATTGGAATACATCTGAACATGCAAGGAGTGGTAAAGGTACAGACTGAGAATAGAAATGTGGGTTATTTGGGACAGATCTTATGGTCTGGAATTTGGAACTTGCATTCTGGAAAATGAAACTTCTGAGAGAAGTCTTAATGGAAAACAGTCTGTTTTGAATGAGGGTGAGAAGTAAAACCTCAGTATTTTTCAGAGGAAAAAAAATTGTTTCCAAAGCACTGTTGCAGAAGAATTGAAATAGCAGTGTTTTAACATATCAGCTGCCCAGTTGGAAGGCTGACAAAGGCTAGGCCTTCTTGGATCCCTTTCTATCTGCTGCATAGGCTGGCAGTAGTGCATTAATGGAGAGAGTCTCTTGCTTCCACAGTTCCTAGAGAAACTTGGAGAACTGAAATCAATCGGCAGTTTCCAAGAGGTCTGAGGGGTGGTTTCTGTGTTAATTTTCCTAATGGCAAATTTAAAAGCATTTACTTAGATTTACTTAGGATTTTTAATTTCACAACAGAGGCATTTTTCAGTGGAAAATAATTCTGATGGAAAATTCACAATGTTTGTTACATCTCTTCTCATTGCTTCAGTGCTAGTCCCATACTTGGGCAAAAACTGATGTTCCTCTGATGTATTTTGGAAATGCTCAGGAATTAATTAAGCTCTCACATTGGCTAATTTACATATATTAAATTTTTCCAGTCAGTCGAAATTCTGATAAATCGCAGAACTTTCCAGCAGTAATATACTCACTGTCTGAATTGTTGTCAAGTTCCCATGTGGAGGTGTGTATGCTACTCATAACACGATTTCGGGTCAAGATTTGAATTAATGTTGCTAATGATATGTGAGTGTAAATATTATCTCTAGTATAAAGCCTAATTAGGACCCAGGACACAGGTGATTCGAAAATCACTTTTCACTGGGGGAAAAACATGTTTGTTCATTTTTTATTAATGGTAAATGGTAGAGAAATGTACAAAGATTAAAAAAAGAAAAAAAAAGTAATTAAAAAATTATGAAGTACAGCATACATGTCCTGGACTAGCCATTAAATGCCTTATTTTTGTTGTAAATTTACTGGTGTCAAAATAATTAAAACAAACAAAGAAAGAAACAGAAAAATAGAAGGAAACTCCAGGAAACCTTCCTTGTTTTACACGTAAACTTAGAGAAAACCTTTTCTATCTTTCAAGTTACCTTCAGTTATAAATGTGAAGGGATTCATATCAATGTAACCATGAAATTCCTGTATGCCAATTAGATTCATGTTTTTCAGGGATGTTGTAACTTTTCTTTTAGATCATACAACTACTAAATTGCCTTTAGAAGATACTTTTTTCCCTTTGAAAGCTGTAGACATTCCAATTTTCTGAAGACATGTTCTGCAGTAGTCAATGTGTGAAGCTGTGGTCTGTGCTAGATTCCTATTCTTTTAAAGGGAAGACCAAGTTGGAGTCTGTCTAAACTCAATGAATGTTTTTCATGCGGCTTATTGACTGAGGTTATCTACATTATAAGCATTTGGAAGTTATCTTTGAGGCTAGCTGTAGTGTGGTCCCATGGACTAAATTGCTCATCATTATTTAGGTGTGTACCTCTAGTTATATGTCAGTGGAATTTCATTGGTGTGACCCAGGGCTGCTCTGCCTTGCAAACCAAAAGACAGTAAATGGGAAGTGTTGGGAGATATATGTAAGATCTGAAAACCTGATCTGAATGCAAACACAAGTGTAATTTCATGCTTTTGTGCAAAGTGCATCTCTACTCTATGTGAATGTTCTAAATAGGATAGTGTTTTTCCTATAGAAAGTCACTTTCCATTTTGCCTTAAGGAAAATATTCCTTTCCTATCAGTGCTGCAAGGTGTGTTTTTGACTTCTTTCAACAGTACTCTATATGTATATGAAAATAGTTCTTGTGATCAATGCTGAGAACATCTGGAAAGATGATAAGCCCAGAAATATGCTGAGATTTAATGAAGGACTCTTTGCTGTAGGGCTCTCTCTTAATGCATTTTTAGAAACATTGTAAATAGGCTCTTCTATAATGATGTTGCCTTCTATAATAAGGCAGTATTCTCTCGTTAGCTGGAAGTAGGAGTAGCTGGTACTGCTTGTAAAGCAACTGAGCTAACATCCTGTAATAGAGCTGTTGGTGTACTTTTACAGAACAGCTATTTATTGAATAATAGGCTTAATGAGGATGAACATTTTTCTTCCTTGCAGATATACTAGGAAGCTAAACAATAATCATAAAACAATTTGACATGTTTAGTTATTCTGGAGTGAGCAGTCAAAAAAAAAAAAGAAAAAAAAACCAACAAAAAACAAACAAACAAACAAACAAAAAAGGAAAGAGCAGCACAGTAAGTAGTTTTAAAAGAACTTAACTTTTCAACCTGGATGTTTTTGTATTTCAGTTTAGCCAGGTGATGTGAATGAAAGCATCAGGATCCAAAGGAAGGGAGGTTGCACTTTACTGAAGTTGCTGCTAAATGCACTGCATTCTTGCTAAACCACCAAGTTACAGCTTAAAAGCATAAGACTTCTTTAGCACTGAGTGCCACGCTAGTTCCAAGACCCAATGTAGTAAGAGCTGGAGAACTAAGGCTAGGTACATTTAAGGCTTTATATAAAAGTTTATAAAAGAGCAGCCAGTATAAAAGCCAGTATAAAAGTTCAGAATTATTCTTAACTGCAAGTGGCCAACAAAACCCAGCAAAACCCAAAATTGCTGTTTCTAGTCCCTAAAATCTCAAGCCTGCTTGATATGTGATGAGTACAAACATCACCTCATGAGCTGTGTGGCTCTACAATGCAGTTTATCCCAAGCTTTTTTCTGGATAGAGCATCACTAGTAAGATACAAGGAAGACAGGTAGTTCTCCACCAACATTTCTGTTTTCCTGGACCTGAGCAAGCATAGCAATGCCAGCGGTAAGGCCCTGCAATTCTCACAGTTAAGCATTTGTTTAAATAATTCAGTACATTATAGGTAGGATCTGTGACAAGACACATATTCTCCAACAGAGGCTGAGAGCATCTGTTTATTCCCTGTTTGTTCCACAGGCAATTTTGGTTTTTTTTTATGTTATTTGAAAGACATATGAGCCTGAATCCCCTATGTGTAGCACCAATGAAGTCGCTCAGATTTAGCCAACATCAGAACAGAATCGGATCCGTAATTTTTTGCTGTCAAACAGTCACCCACACACCCTGCATTTGGAATTTTTAGTGAGGAAATTATCCGCCTGGGCCATACTGACTTGTGTGATTATGACCTAGGCTTAGCAGCATGGGTATACAGAGCACAAATTAACCAGCAGGAATCTTCTAATGATCCAAACCAAAACAAATTGAACAGGAGGAGGTATAAAATGCCATAGGATATTTACAGCCTCATTAAGAAAGTTAGTGAGTCATGAGCTAAAAAGTGTCATTTCTTTTTCTGGACAGAACAGAAAAATGAGTGTTGTTAAAACTTGTGTAATGGTACATGAAACTAGGGTGTAAAAAGTCTTACCTGTAAAATCTGTGTTACATTCACAGAGTCACGGTAAAAATGTAGAAGTAGGGTTGGATGAGGAGACTTTAGTACCTTTTTTGCATTGGAAGTTCCATGGCCACAGGCTAAAAGGGAATAAATAGCCAAACAGTCAATGGTTAATGGCATCTTAGAATCCACAAGGAAATCTTAAGAAGCTGATCTCTAACTTAGCAATAGGATATGTATCTAGGTAAATGAATGAGGACTTGCATTTGGACAACTATTAAGAAATCTCATAAATTGCAAAAGTGTTATTAATTTTCAAAGGTTTAATGTTTGATATATTTGTGTCTGGTACACGTTGGTAGAGGACAAATCTGATTCAGTTGAATTCACTGACAAAAAAACTTGCATTGAACAAGTCCTAACTTACAGCGTTGTTGAAGAAAGAAAATTTCTGTGAAACTGATGGGTGTTTTCCCTGATTATTACCTACCCTTTAGGATTTTTCTTAAACAACTTCACTTCTGTTGAAAAATTAGAAAATCTCTTCTTGCATTCATCAGCAGTGACAGTGGTCTGGTATTGCTCACTTGTTGATTTCAGTGAGCTGTACAAGTCATTGTTTTACAGAGGATAAGGAGACTAACCCAGGGTGGAATTATGTGCAACTGGAGAGAGTTAACAAATCTGCATCTCGTAAGGCCTAGGTTGAAGTTCTGCCCAAGTGTCCACATTTGGATATGTGAAAGCAGTTTATCATGTTCACAGGTTGGGTCTGCACATATTTTCTGTTGCTGCACGTAAACCGCAGGTTATTTGAACTACAAGGTTTTCCATCTTCTTTTTAAAATATTATTTTGTTGTTTGTTTGTTTAATTTTGCTTCTGGATTAATAGTAATGCAGGTATTTGGAAGTGCAATAGATTGGAACATTCATTTTGGTTATAAAAGCAGCCACGCTTTTAAATCCTTGTAAATCCTACTTGGATTTACGTACACTTTGGCAGGCTTAGCATTAAGATTCTGGATGTGCATGCAAGGGCAGAATTTGCTTGAGAGTGCAGAGAGAGAGCAAGCATAGATAAAAGGTATGCTGGAAAATGAGCTGACGTGCACAGTTGTAACCAGACTTCTGAGATCTTGTCATCTGCTGTGTTGAAAGAGGTCTGGGCCTGTGATACTAATGAAAAAAATTAGTTTTTTCCTTTGTTTTTGTCCTGCAGAAGGAAAAATGAATAAAATTAAATGGATCTTGACATGGCCATTGATATTCGTGCTCTTTTGCACCATTCCAAACTGCAACAAACCCCGCTGGGAGAGCTGGTTTATGTTCACATTCATCTTATCCACTCTCTGGATTGCCTTGTTCTCCTACTTTATGGTGTGGATGGTAAGTCCATGTAGCAAAATCCGCCACAGAGAGTAAAATTTGAATCTCAAAATAGGTTATAGATCTTTTGTGTATTTGTTAAAGACTTGTAATCATAGTGTTGTCTTTTCAGTTTATACTCTTAATTATTAAAATTATATCTTTCTGCTACTCTTTTCTGCACAGATTATTGGTCCTTTACTGTATAGTGCCCAATACAAATTGATTTTCAAATAATGTTGTCATTCACATCCTACTAAAGAAAGGGAATTTAAATGAAAGTATTCACTTCTTAACAGCTGTTCTTAGATACCTTTAGAAATTGGGTGGTATGGTCTGATGCAGAAACAAACATGTATAAGAGGCAGATGGATGGCAAAATTTGAAGTGCTATAAACCTCCTCAAGTAGAGTCGAATAATTCAAGAAAGTCTTAGAGAAAGACTGTTATACTTCATATCATACTTTCTTACGTGTTTCCATTTACTCTTTTTTTGAGAAGCAGTGTATCAGGTGTAGATCTGTAAATTGTGATCAATTTAGGAGCACATTTACTGGAAGTATTAAATAGGTTTATGTTTTCTTTTTACCCTCTTTCAGGTTATCAAGTTCATATTTTCAGTCAGAGTTAAGTGAATTTAAAGTGACATTAAGTGAATAGAAGAGCTCCTTGTCTAGTTTCTGTGGTGGGAACTATACTTTTAAAACATAGAAGGTTACCTTTTTCTGCACTAAAAGATGCAAACCCACACAGCTGTTTATACCTGTAGCTAGAAGATAAGTAGGATGTGCTGCCGAAGAATTCTGTGATCAGTTTTCTTTTTAAAGGAAAATACAGTGAAGAAGTAGTCATCTTGTTTTGTTCTGGAGAACATATAGCTGTATATGCTATATACACAGTCATAGCCATATGTATACTCTTATAGTTGTATATATGGAAGACTTTTTGTTATTGAACTTATTTGTAAAATATTTTTTGGGTGGAGAACATTCATACCTTCTCCAAATCTGTCAGACATTTGCTTTATATTTATGCTTCCTTCTGTTTTTAATACACACTTGATACATAATGTTTTGCACTATAAAGTAATTCCCGTCTCTGCAGGTTGAGAGATCCATATGCCAGCCACTCATTCTGCCTGGTATAACAGTGCCAAAACATTCATTTCATACCATATGTCCTTTGTCAGACCATGCTCTGCACCTTGGTTCCATTTGCAGATGTCCCTTCACAGACAAGACATGCTCTCCAAGGCTGCAACACCTCTTTTTTTAAGATGCTGCCAGACCTTATAGTATTACCATTTACAACAGGAGAAACATGCCTCCTTCTATTTCTGAGCTACAATTTGCCTTTGAGAATACGAAGGTTTGTGAATGGGTTTCTAAAGTACACCTTTTCCTTGGCAAAGGGTCCAGTCTTTCTCATGCATGAGGCTGACAAGCTATTTCAGGAAGACAGCATAGAAACTTGAAGACTCTCACCCTTGGTATTCTCTGCAAGGAAGGAGCTGTCTTCCTGCTTTGGTCTTCTCACTCTCACAGGGCTGTTTCTTTTGCATGCTCAGTTGCCCGTTGGTGTTTTTTTTTCTTTTCACTTTTTTCAGTCTTTTTTGGATGTTCCAGTTAAATAACGTTCCCTGTCCTTTCCAAGAGCTCTGCTACAAGCTACAGCCCTTCCCTTAATAGCTGTAAAGCTGCATCTGGCCTCTCAGGAGAAAATATAGCCAGAGCTGCTCACTTTGAGATTATATCAGGAGTTATTTGAAAAACTTGAAAAGGAGTTTCCTTCTTCATGTGCTGGAATATAATAATTTCCTTATGTCTCTGACACTGCATCGTGTTATAAATTGATTCCAATCCTTTTTCAAAAAGAAGCAATAACAATTTTGCTATTATTGGATATAAAATAAAAACAAAACCACAGATTGAGTCCATGTCTGTGCTTCTCTTTAAAAGATCAGTACGTCCTCTTAGAAGTACAGAAAGTGGAGTTTACTGTTTGCTCAGAAATGCTGAAGTCTATGTCCAGGGTACTTTTTTTTTTTCACAAGGTTGATTTTAGGCTAGTTATTCCACATTACTTCGTTTGCAGGCATGGATCTTGAGTCTAATTCTTCGGGGATCTACACCAGAGATCAGAGTATGCTACAGTGGTATTGGATTGAGGAGACTTTCCAAATCTGACAGGTTTATCTCTTTTCCTTACCATTCAGGTGACTGTGATTGGATACACCCTTGGGATACCAGATGTGATCATGGGCATTACTTTCCTAGCTGCAGGAACAAGCGTCCCAGACTGCATGGCCAGCTTAATAGTTGCAAGACAAGGTACTGTATCTGCAGAAGGATACCTGTGGTCCTACCTGCATGCTCTATGATTTGCTTCTTCAGTGCAGTTTTGTTATTTTTAATTATTTTTATTTGTACTGTTTCAGAGCCCAGATGAAAAAACAGAACACTTTGCTAAGTACTGTGTGCCAAAACATCTTCCCTGTCCTGTTACCTTTTACTCACTGGAACTGGGCACAGCCTAGCATTCCAGATGGGCATTTGACAGTTAGATATCTCATGCATGCTATGTGTCAGTCTGAATAAAAAGATAGAAGTAGTAGACAAAACGGAAAGATCAGCTATTACAAAATTTTATTGAGAAATCTATGCTAATCAGCACTGTTCCATATAGAACTTGTATTGATTTCTAGAAGATTTATTGAACCCAGAGAAGTGAAGTAGTCTAAGATGATCTAGCAAAAACAGTGTTGCTCCAAGCATACTTCTCATCAAAAGGCAAATCTCCTTCCCTTTGGAATGTATGAAAAGTAGCACTGGAAGAGGTTTTAGATTAATATTGGTTATGTCATCATTGAGTTTTCAGTTGAAATTTTAACTTTTTTTCATGTATCTTTAACATTCTGAGAAAGTTTTTTACATTTCCTTTTTTGAGAAATGTCTGTAGCCACATGCCTTCCTGTTGTTGAAAAACATTAACCTGAAAGTATGATCTCCTCTACTGCAGTAGAGTAAGAACCTGTCCTGATTTTACTCTTTTTCACTACTCCAATCCCTGCAGTGTTTTGTTGTTTTCTTTTTTTTTCTCCAGATAATGAGATCTCCAGAACACATAATTGGGCAAACAGCAGGGGTTCTGAAATGATAAGCACCCAAATGTACCACCTTTGAGATAGAAGTAGTGCTCTTAAATGTTGCTTGATTAAAAAGAATTAAGAATGAAGATACTTCATTCTCCAGCTTATATTATCTGTTGTGTGCAGGAAAAATCTCATAAAAGCATTGAGTCTCACAGAAGTATTCAAGATTCGTACAGAACTGCCTTCTGACTAGATTAGCTTTCCATATGTAGTACCAAGAAAACAGATTTTTGAAGGAACAGAAGGAAAGCATGTTTTTAAATGAACAGACGGCTGCTTTAGATTAATTCTTTCTTAATGTTTGGTAAAACTCCTCTAAGGATTGTTTCCTCTGAAAGTGAAGCTAAGTGGTAGCTTGTGGAAAAGCATGTGGTCTCATTGAAGGACACATTTTTGCAGTACTTGAAATCAAGAAAAATGGCTACAAGGATATCTAAAGAGTAGAGAGGGGTACTGCCATAGAAATGGATTGAAATATTTCTTTTTCCTTTTAAATAGAGACTGTATTTGTGATCTGGGAGTGTCTGTCTCTGCTCTGTGTGCTCTGACTATTTGCAGGGTTTGTCCCATACATGACAGTTCCTCTTCTTTCTTGGTATGCATTTTGTAGAAGTGTCTCAGTAGTAAGGCTGGTCCTTAAAGAGAAGTAGCAGAGGAAGAGGATTGTGCCTTCCTTAGAACTGGTGCAGAATGAGATGTCAGCCAACGTTAAATATAATTTCTAATTATGAAAATTGTCTCCTTGCCTCAGATGCTCTAGCCAGTCCAGGAGGACTTGGATCAATGCCAATCAGTCCTCTTTAATTTCCTCTGGATACAGAGTATTCATTCTGTTCTTTTTTTCATCTGAAATTTGCTTTTTCTTTGCAGGCCTTGGTGACATGGCAGTATCCAACACAATAGGAAGTAATGTATTTGACATTCTGGTGGGCCTTGGTGTTCCGTGGGGTTTGCAGACCATGGCAATTGATTATGGATCAACTGTATGTATACTGAGCATATTTCTAATGTTTTCCTTTTCTCTGTTTAAAACAAAACAAACAAAAAAATCACCATCATATCCTAAAAAGAAAGCATGCAAATAAAAACTGATTTAACAAAGCAAGTCCTAGCATTTTATTGGTTATTAAATAAGGTGTTGTGTTTGGTGGGTTTTTTTTGCCAGGAGTTACAGGAGCAATGCTCCTTCCACCAACTGCAATTAATTCCCAATTTGTCAAATGGAGTACATTACAATCTGTATCAGATAATAAGGCCATATATATCTTTCATGGCACTGTCATTTTCTCACTGCACAACTTCAAGCATATCTGACTCCCTGTACCTTAGTATTTTTGTAAGATAACAATAACAACATCTAGAAACTACTAGAAAGTAACATCTCTTTCTCTCATGAGGATCTTTTAACTTGAAATCCATTATACGTGCTATTTTCTTTTTTTAGAATTGGGATTCCTTACACATTTGCTTTAAATCCTTAACGTTCCCATTCTCCATTTTAAATCTGTTGTGGATTTGCATAGTTTAGAAGAAGTCAGACAGTCACAGTTCAAGGCAGAAGGTGGACTACCACGAATCAGTAAATTTATTTCTGATCTCTAAAACAAAGTTTTCATATTCTGGGTGATTTAAAGAATTATTCTCTGTTTAATTCACACAGGTTAAGATAAACAGTAAAGGACTGGTCTATTCAGTTGCCCTTTTACTAGGATCAGTGGCACTGACGGTAAGTATTAGTCTATTTCTGAATGTGACTCTTCAGACTGTTCTGATTGCAAAATAATTATCAGGTATTTACTTAACGTACTCTACAAGGAAAAACTGGAAGTGCTCATCATCCCCAAAGTATTGATTCTTTTAAAGTACTATTCTTATAGTAATGCCACGAGTTAGAATAACTGCCATTGTCTTCCAGTGGCAGGACTGAAATCTGACATTTGGTGCAGAAGAGTTGCTAGAAGTGTATAGATCCCTTTGATTTCAGTGTCAGTATTGACATTATGTGATTGAATAATATTCCTTTGGTCCTGTGTCCAGCTGCATACCCTAGGTCTGTCTGTACTCTGTGCTGGGGAAGACCCAGGTATGCTTCCTCCCTTTTTTTCATCCTCCCATCTCTGATTTTCAAACCAGCCTAGACTAACAATGCACTGTTACCAAAACCTTAACAATGACTGGTCTGTGAGGGCTGTGAACCTCAGGATGTTGAATAGGCATGTAAAGTACAACTCACCTTTATAATACTGACTTGTTAAGGTGAAACAGTAGTTCTGCTTCAAAAGTCAGTTTTGCTGGTACTTAGGGTACTGTGATCTGCTGACTCCCAAAGAGCCATCTGTGGAAAGAATCAAATCCCAAAGGTATAAAAATACCCACTTACATCTTTCACTGCCTGCGGAGACCCTTTTAAAGGAGGGGATCATCACTGGAGATGCTACACTCTTGCATGGCTAGATTTTAGCAAACTTCACATCACCTGTGCATGTCTTAAATGATAGAATGTCCAGATCTGTTCACTTTGCCACTAACTTCCTAGTGCATCTGCTAATATAAGCTGTGAGAGCCTGTTCTTTACTTTTCCTATCTCCAGTTGTGCCATGCTGCACGGTGCCTGTGGAGCAAAAAAGTTCTTTAGACACTTGTATCTGATATTGCTGCATGAGTATTGGTAACCAGCACTTCTGAATACATGGGAGGATTATGCAGATGTTACTATGCTAGAAACTCAGGGATTTCTGAAAAGAATCTTTGCAGCAATATCATCTGAGTTCAAACCATCTACTGTCTTGATTTTTTCTACTGGATACCCTAATTCCCCCAGATCTTCCCATAGCAAAAATCAGTGCAGAAACTCATAGCACCTTCATGTTAATTTAATTGCTTTACTGCTTGTAATTCTTCCTAGTTCAGGAGCTGAGTAAAATGTCAAAGAAACTCTTCTAGAGCTGTTGAAAGAGTGAACGTTAGGTGCTTGTGTTCAACTGGGATGTAAAGGGTGTACAACAGAGCGTTGGAGGGAGAAGCATATTCAGTGTATTCCCTAGTTCATAATGAAGCAGGGAATTAATGCTGCCTAACTAGAATGTGCCTGATGTACTGAAAATGCAGTATGCCCTGAAACAGAGCACCCAGGGGCCTGTTTTGTTTCTCTGTTACATGATGAACTTCTCAAGTGGCCTTGAAGTGGGTCCATTTAATGTTTTGTAAAGGGTTCTTCAGGCAAGTGAGAGTAAGGCCAGAGTTTGAGTTATTGGATTGGGTTCGTACATTCTTATTTAAAAAAAGAAATATTTTGCCTTTTTAAAATCTGTAAAATGCCAAGAATATATATTTTTATCTTGGTCCAGGATCTCTAATTGAAGAAATCATTGTCATTTTCAGCTTACAATTGTTTCTAGAAGTCTCCTTTGAGGCTTAATTAACTAACACTTTGTTTTCTTGCAGGTGTTTGGGATCCATGTAAATAAATGGAAACTTGACAAGAAATTAGGCATCTATGTGTTGTTTCTTTATGCTGTTTTCCTGTGTTTCTCTATATTGATAGAGTTTAATGTCTTCACCTTTGTCAACCTCCCTATGTGCCGAGAAGGACTTTAAGCAACTGTTAAGGAGAGAGACTGCGCTTCTGATTACCTGTGCTGTAAATGACAGGAGACATTTCACGTTTCTACCTTCCTTCCATCAGTAATTTGAGTGTCATTCCTGCTTCATCAGCTACCAAGCACTTTTACCTACGTGGAAGGAAAGCATACCTTTCTTGTAACATGCTAGCTCAAGGCAACCAAAGCATTTAACTCCTCTTTGGATATTGCTGCTCAGTCATGAAGAGGTGTGGACTTTATGCGGTACTCTCGAATGTCCCCACTTATGGGACTTTCTGTTGTTGTTTTCCTTCTCCTTTTGCAGACAATCAAACACTACCAACAAGACTAACAAGAAGACTGGAGAAAAATCTTTATAGTTCTTTTGCTTTTGACATTTACTTTCCATGGAAGGAAAGGAGGCGAGTTCAGAACTTTTCTCGGCTTTGTCAAAATATCTCAACTATAGGACCAGAAAGTCCAAGGTACATATCAGGCATGCACTGTTGAGGACATCATTTCCCCCTTCAAGTGCTCTGCTTATAGAGAAACTGCAGTGACAGTTTTTGATGGCAGTGTTGAATATTTATCATTCTTTTCAAAGAAGATGAACAGTGTGGCAGAGAAAGAAGAGGAAATGGTTGTATGTTGTATCACTTCTGATGATGCACACTATAAGTTTGACTGTCTGCATAGTGAAAAAGAGAATTACATGCAGAACTTCATACTTGAAAAATCTGTTTTATCATTAATGAGTAATGCTGTGTATGTAAATATAAACAAAAAGTGGTGGAATATTACACCATGACAGACATTTTGCGTTGGCCCTCGTAAGCTCATTTGTAAGTTTAGAAGAAACTAAGCAAATAAAATCAACTGGGTGCTGAGTAACTATCAATTATTGCTGTCAGTTGAGAATAGAATCCAGACATAAACCAGATTGTCTGACAATAAAACCCACCTTGGTTATGATTTAATTTAATTTGATTATTGAGGGAAGTAAGCTTACTTCATTAGTCAAGAAACTGATGCATTCTCCATTCTTTATATATTTCCAGAAGCTTAATGAAGATGGGTGTCTGACACTCAGTATTGCAGATAAGATATAGACAGATAAAAGAGTCTATCAGGAGACCATGATCCTTGATTTGATTGTATACAAATTTGAAATATGGTGTACTTCTTTTCAAGCCCCAGTAGAAGCCAGATTTTGGTATCCTATCCACTAGCATAAACCCTGTATAAGGAATAGCTGATGTAAATGACAGCAGAATCTGGCCTAGACTATTAAAAACAATAGGTAACATTCCACGTTTCACTAGTCATAAGACTGCAAATCACCAAGACAGTGTGCATATTTTGCATTGCTACTAAACTTTGAAACTGTATATGAGTGAAAGATCTTCTAAAGAAGCACAGTTAACTTTATACATAGATTTTTTTAATTTTTTAATGTTTATAAACCAAAACAAATCTATCAACTAAAAGTTGATACATTTTTAAATATATTAATATTTTGCACTTAAGACTATATATAAAACTTCCCATTACTGTGTCACTGAGAACATACTAAAGAAACTTAGCGAATAAGAACTAAATTAAAAAGTTCCTTGTCTCAGTATACCTGATTAAATAATTGAGTTCAACCAGCTCACATGTAGGACACTGTTTACACCAGGAAATGTGTTTACAATTAAGGCTATTTAAAATCTATTTTGATACAAATTAAAGAACGAATTCTGCTGTTGAGCTTTTTTAGGAATTGGATCCTTCTAATAAAATCCTACAGGAAAAGGAGCTATATATTTGTTACTTGCTTTACACTTTGTAATCAATGTCAGTATTAGTACCCAGTTAGGGTTTTTCACCTTAATTAGGTAGTTGTGCAGTTAAATTACACAAATCTTAAGATGGAAATAAGTACAGCATTATTAAAATGCTTTATTGAATAGCCAAGAATGACAGTAAACACGTTTGTCCTCAAGTATGTAGATGACCTTATTTCCTGGTGTTCAAGGCATTTCTGCTGTAGTATAGCAGCAAAGCTGAAGAGATTCATTTTCATTCTTGAGTCTTCTGTTGCAGAAGAGTTGTGAAAGTGCACTGCTGTAGGAGCATCCGTCTCTATTCTTAATGTCTTCTCTGCTATTTTTCAGAATGACGGTATGCTGCTGATACTCTCATGATGGCTTATATTTGAACCTGAAAGGAGCAGAGATAGAGGCTGGGCTTACAGAACTAGTTGCCTACAAGCAAACATTTGCTCTTCCGTGCACAGTCTGGGCAACTCAGATGTATTTACACTACTTAATAGTAGTTCCAAAATCTAGTTCTGAATGCCTGCCTAGTGATCAGCTGAGTTGACATTGATGAGGGCATCGATGTTTACAGTGCCAGATCTAGCAGATTGTACTGTATCTTCATATTTCTGAGCCAGGTAACTTTAAAAAACTAGGGGCACCAATTTCTTCCATCACAGCTGATCCCCAGCTCAAAAATGCATGAAATTGTGTTTGCTAATGCCATGAATCCTTGAGACATTTTTTAAAATTATTTTTCCTAAATTTAATATCACCTGCTCCAAAAAACAGAGTGTTCTGCTGTAGGAAGAGGCAGTCTTGGAAAATAATGCTGACCTTAAATTGCATAGCAAGTCCTGTCATTGTATAGCTCTTCCTAAAATGTGGACCACATTTTAGGATGACTTATATTGAATTGCAGTGCTGCATTTCCCGAAGCAGTCTCATACACATCTTCTTTTACAAGACAGGTATCGTGCCATGCTTATCATTATAAATAACTTTAGTAGGATTCTCCTCTGACACAACCATGTGACCAGGGATATATTGTTTGCCAAAGAATTATTAGATGCTGTATCAGGGCCTTGATGACACATGATCATATGAAGTAGTTAGAGTCCCCATATAGTCATTACTAATATGCTAAAATAAAGAAAGATGGTAATTATAGGCAAGCCATGCAGATAATTGAATGGACTGAGAAAGATCTAACTGACAAATTGCTGTCTGTCAGATACCCACTTCAGAATGTGTCAGTAATTCAGGAGAATATTGCTGAGTACTAGCGGAATAGTGCCTTTCATGTGTACAGAAAATAATTTGCTTGTGTCAGGAAACTACTTCAAATTTTGCCATTTTCCAATGATGAAAAGGAATGATTTGCACTCGGCTCTCCGAAGTTTCTGCAATTCTATATTGCATGTGTTCAGATTGGGTTTGGAAAATTTTGTAGCCGTTTTGTTTTACTGACTGCTGCAATAGTTAGCTGTCTGAGTTTGGAATGTATGTCACAATGTTGTCTAAGCTAACATTCAGTTCAAGAGTGAAAAGAAAGCTTGTGAATGCGATTTGAAAATTGCCAGCCTACTAACACTGAAGAGTAATACGATGCAGAAAGACATAGCCCTTATCCAGCAAAGCTTAACTTCATGAGGATTGATTCCATGCTTAAAACTAAACATATATTTAAGTGCCTTGCTGGATTGATGACAGCTGAGCACGACTTTTGGGCTTTCTGTCACGCTCATGTTTGTTTTGTAGTCTACAATTTTTAATTCTCACTCAAGTTGAAAGGTTTGGACAGAATCTATGGACTTCTGCTCTGCTGACACCATTGTGGATTTCCACTCATGAATAAGAGGAGAACTGGTTCTCTGTCCCATAGATTTCAAAACAGTGTACCTTTCCTGGTATACAATGGCATCAAAACTGAATTACAGCTGGCCAAGCAGAGCTTCTAGCAGTTCTTCTGTGCTACAGTTCCACAGGAGTAGTACAGTCCCACATAGATCCACAGAGTGCAGACCTATCTATAGTGACTGCATGGGAGTGTTGCCATTGAAGTCAGAAGTGTCCAATTCTCTACAGACTGTAACTCTTGTACTGCATTATAAAGTTGTGTCATAAAAGTTCAGATTTGGTACTCTGAGTCACACTGATTCATGGAAAATATTGCCCAAATAAATATTTCAGGCTAGGGATCTATTTGTCTAAATCTAAAACAGTAATCTACAGTTATAGTTAAGGTAACCTACAGTTATGGTTATCTTAAAATGACTGTTTGATGACCTGCTGTAGGCTGAAGTCCAGTCTAGCTGAATACCTTAAGTCTTCCCAACATGTATGGCAGTCAACCACCTTTCTCCTGGCTCAGTCATCGGCGTGCCAATTTTATTTTATGGTATGCTTGCTGCAGCTGTGACTAACATATAATTAGTTTCTGGTTTTAGACTATATTAGTAAATATTCCTCTAATGTGTAAGCAAATGGAAAATGTCTTTCCAAGTCTACTACTTATACAGCAATGATAGGGAAGACTATTATTTGATTTCCTTTGTGACTGTGCTTTAATTGTACACACTTGATTTTACTGTGTGTTTGCTCTAGTTGCACAAATCCCACATGAGTCTGGGTGTCTTCCGTTTTTGGATTTCTTGCAATCGTAACGTTATTTATTTGTGTACCACTGCTAGATTTTTTTTCTTCTTTTTTGTAGAGTGCTTTAAGTTGTATAAATACTGCCTGATCATCCATGCCAAGGAAAGAGCAGACCTAATGTAATATGAAGCAGACACTAAAGTAACACTGACAGCCAGGTGAAACCAAAGAATCTTTTTTTCAAGTATTGAAATGCATCACTTTTGGACATAATATTCTGTCACTGCAAGGCTCAGATCCTTCACTTATTTGTGTTTAAGCGCTCATAAGAGAAGCTCTGCAGCTCAGACATTCGCTACATATTTTCCTTTATATTTCTTTGAAGTCTAGATTTTTCAGTCTGTTGAGTGATGAGATTTATACGATGGTTACACAGGTAAATGACAGCATTTAGTTGTACCAATTCTGTACCAAGCCCCCCATTATCCCTTATTACTTCCTTAAACTACTCTGAAAATTCTGTATGCAAGTGTTCTGATGAAGAATGTTGATCAACTGATGTGTGCTTTCCAGTTCCTGACCTAGTGTGCACAGATTGAAAAACCTCAATGTGAATAAATTGAGCATGCAATTTCTTTCCCCATGTGTGATGTCCTCCTATTTTCTCCCTGGAGAAAGCTTCAGAAGGGATCTCACCCCGTGAGATTCTTCATCCCTGTCCTGAAATTTGAAATACGTGTAGCTCCTTCTCTACAGGCTGAGATGTATGATGATTGTGGCACTTTGTACATCATATGTTATGCTTCCTACCATACTTCTGACATATAGTAAACCTTGGAAATAAATGAGAGAGTGTAGGAAATTAAGGTCACTTGGTATTTTCCTACAAGAGTTACCAATTTGAATTTAATTCTTTATTTTTTTTTAGTTGCACAAAGAATGTATGTGATTGTTGCTCTTATCATTGAGATGATCTTGGCAAACTTGAAAAACAAATATAAAGGTTGATTTATAGCAATAGGGAATTATGACAAAATCTAAAGGTTATCAGAATATATCAAAACCAGACAGATAAATTCTCTGGAAAGATTGTGATGCTTCTTTTCAGAGGATTTTGCAGAAAAGATTATTGCCTTCATTCCTATACCAGTTGGATACACAGAGAACACTCAAGTCTGCTTCCCCAGCAGCATCATTGTTCCAAATGGCTGAAACTCTGCAGTGAAGTTATGACCAAATTCTTGCCTTCACGTTCTTGGGAGCGATGCCAGCTCTCATTATTGTCCTGATAGTTGGCACAAATTCTCATCAGTGGAACTGTGAGCAGAATTTGGCACCTGCTATCTCCTCCATTGCAAGCAGGTATTTGAAATCATTTACGATTGCTAAAATAACTTCTGAACCTTTTAAACTTCCCTGTGCTTCATACTTACAGCCATTTGCAGTGCACCCTTAGGTGGTGCAGTACCTCTTTAAATTTTATTAAAACTTTCTAGAACTGCTTACTTTGAAAACAGAAAGGGATGAGTTTGTAAACTGTAAATAACAAAGTTCTATTTATCATGTTATTTATTTTTTCAATGACTGTGACCTTATGCACTGTGAATGCTCTGTGTATATGGGGTCCTTTGTACAGATGAATATGTCATGAAATCCATATGGATTTAATGTGATAATTTGTTACAAAATGTTGGCATGATATTTGATTATTTTTGTTGTGGAAAATTAAAAATAAATAGTTAAATAGGCATTTATAAAAGAATCTAGCAGTCAGTATGGTAATGCACTATGTTATTAACACATGTACACTATCAATAAATTATATAAGAACTACTGGATTGTATTTTTGTCAGGTGATGAGACCATGTGAAGCGTTCTCTTATTTATTGTTGAAAATCTAAAATTTCAGGACCCAGCTAGGATATGTGCCTGCACTTTCTTGCTGAAATCTGGACTCTGCTACACTGAAAGACAGAAGGCCCACATTTTCATCTGTTCAAGGGGGTATCACTTGGATCAAGCCAATATTTTGGGGTGAGTCAAGTGTATCTGTTTGATCCACAGCAATTTCAAAATGCAAGATTTGCTCTTTTGGTACTAGAAATGTTTGGTCTGCTGAGAATATCGTCTGCTGTACTGAGGCACCAATCCAGAACAAATATGGCAATCTCAGAAACATCCTTAGCCAGTATTTTGGCCCCATGGTACAGTGGAATCCATCAGGTTCCCATTGGGTACTGAATGCTGACAAAAGGGAATGGAAACATGATCTAAAAGCCCCATAGTGCTGTTTCACCTTCCCAGATACCTAGGCTCTGGAGATAGCAGAGAAAAAAAATAGTCCCACTTATTCTTGATTGCCTATTCGAAAAGGCAGACATACAGCTATCTTATGACTTCTAGGGTAGATGCACAGTCTCTGTATGCTGTATATTCTGGGCTGAAGGAAAGCTTCTAAACTCAGTTCTTTGAAGAAGGAACCTTACTCCCATATACTATATTTTTTAACTATTCATTAGACAAGAGTCTTCCCATTAATACTCTTTGCCAGTTTACCCCAGATGACAGAGATAAAACTTTCACCATATTTTCCATAGCCACACTGCATGCTTTTGTATAAAACCTGTAATTAGCCACTGTGTTTTTGTGTATTTACAGGAGAATCCTTGTGATGTGGAGAAAAGCAATATCCTGCTTTCTTTGACTTTTGCACGAGGGTTCATTCTTCGGTAAATGCTAGGCTAGGTGTTTCTAAGGAAATGACTCCTCTTCCCTACAGAATTAACTTCCAAGAATCAGAATCTGGCTGTAGAAAGTACCATTCTTTTAATTCCCTGTACGTTTGACCTCATGACCCATCATGACCTGTTATGTAATAGGCTTTATAAAAGGCACGTAATCTATGGATTAGTGACACAGTAGGCATGACAGCTCCTGCAGGAATATACCATGATGCAGCTGCATCCTACTGTGTGAAAAGCAGAAATGTCACATAATCTGTGCATGTGCTGAAAGCACTTCAATAAAACCAAACTGCACTTAAGTGCTTCTCTCATTTTTAAACCTTCTCAACTTGGTCAAATGGTGTGGTTTAAGATGGAAGGGGTGAATCAGCCTTAAAAAAGGACAGGAATTTCTCCCCCCTGCTTCTAGCTCACACTGATATTGCAGCAATCTGTAGGCTAAAAATTAGTTTAATGAATGTGTCACATCTAAATAATTCTCCAAGTTTTCTCTAAAACCTGTTTGGCTTGGATGTATCTCAGAGAAGTGCCATTTTGCAGTGTTTGTCATGTAGCTTTTGTACAACTGTGTACCACAGCCTGATCCTACAACACAGCGTCTCACTCCAAGCCTGTCGGATCTCTGGCTTAAGAAAAAACACACAGAAAAGCTCTGAAAAAATATATTAAAATTCGTCCTAATTTCCATTTTTTATGTATTTTACAGAAATGCTTATACAGTATTGCAGAGACGCTAACATATTTGTGAGGAAAAAAAAGAGTCTTTTTTGAGAATTTTTGCCCATTATCTTTAACATAAATATTTTCAAAACTTCACATTTCTGAACCTGTACCATTATGAATTGTGTGAAAGTTTTCACAAGAAACCAAAAAAGAGCTTTTCTCAAATAATGTCAAACTGAAAGACCACAATACTGTATTTTGTATTCTGTATTTTTGCAATTTTTTTCCTGTGTTTTTAATAGTACTTCCTGTCTGACCGCATTTTTGGAAATGCCTGTCGCTTGCTGAAAACTGATCTTATGCATCTATAGGGTCTTATTTCTTTGCCTAGGATGACTGCATCTTTGTGTAAGCACAGATTTCTCCATCTGAGTAGGTTCATGCAGAACAGCTCACCCTTAAAGCTTTCTACCCTTGTTTCCCAGATAAGCAAAGGTAAACTCAGTATCCCAGTCCTAGCCGGGTTGCAATGTAGGGAAATGAAATGGTGGCGTGGGGCTGAATTTGTGGAATGTATCTAGAATCTTGTTCTTATGCTAATACCCAAGGTGTATTTCAAAGGCGACAAGCTGGAGAACAAGTTTGGAGTGTACTTCTTGGATCTCTGTGCCCAGAACCAACAGTACTGCAGCTACCAGAAAGATTCATGAGATATGACAAGCCTGCAAAGAGGGATGAGTGAATCTCAGCCAACCAGTTTGCTTAAGAGTTAAATGCAACATGGAATTAGTTTGTAATTGTCTAACTGGCAACATAAGTTGGAGCGAAGAAGTCCTTAATTTAGTAGAAGAGAATATAATGAGATACAATAACAGAAATCTTAAAACTAGGTAAGGCAAAAAGTCTGGTCTGAAATCTAGATGATACTGATAATTAAACAGTAAGACACCTGTAGCAGGGTTGTGGATTTTCCATCATGCAGCCTTTATATCAGCTCTTTGATTTTCTAAGAGAAATCCTTCTGGAAGCTAGAAGACAGGTTTCCCAATGCCAACACAATATTTGACTGAAAAACCCTTGAGAAAAGTTTATCTTGAGTTACACAAATGGGTCTAGATTACAGGAAGGTTCCCCGGTTCCTCCACGCTCAAGCTAGCAGAACAAGTTCTGTGTTCTACATAAGTCAAGTTTCTCTCATGCGGATACACTGGGAGCTGCCCGACGTTTCCATTTCGAAGGTGGGCTACATGGCAAAGTACTTACTGGACAATAGAAAGCTGAGAAGTTTCTTCTAAAAATAAAAGGAGAAACAAGTTACTGTCATCTCCTCTGTTCCAAGCAATTACTTTTCTTTGCCTCTGCTTCATATTTCTACTTTGCTTTTTTCCATTATGCATTCTTCCAACATCAAATATTTCCTGAATAATAGAGCTGCCAAGCAGGAGTGCCATTAGCCCTGTCTGACAGCACATCTGTCAGCTCCCAGCCTCCACAGCTGGTTTGCGTTCAGTTGGGTTTTCAGTACAGCAAACTACTCAACCACTTAAGTAACTCCAGGTCAAACAGACAGCTGTTCATTTACTAGCAGTCTTACAGCCTTATCATTACCTTCTGCATTAACTTCTTTGCATAAATGTCCTCTGCCTGTGTTAGACATTTCATTTTCCCAGGTCCTGTGTAAATATAAAGGTTTCCAAGCTCCATCTGGTTCCAGTTACTCAAGCAATAGAAATACACATGCTTCAGGAATTTGCAGACGGAGACTTAATGCTTTGCTGCCTTATAAAATCCTTTACAAAGTTCACCATGCTCTGTTGCCTACTGATATACCTGCAGTCTGTAAAACAAACTCCCCTGTATTTACTTAAGTTAGAGAAACAAAGTAGAAGCTGACAGTTTCAGGCCCTTCTTTCTAATAAGGTTAACCTGCCTTCACTACTAAATATGGCTTTCTAATATATACACACGCACACACACACACACACCCTTGACCACCAAAGACTGCCTCTTCCTGAAATCCCCCATTCATATAAATACAGGAAGTAGAAAGAAGAGAGGCTAAAATCAGACCTTCTTGGTAGTTTGCTTTCATTTCAGTGCCTGTTTAGTCGTCTGCCCTCCGATATTACTGAGCCTGAAGTTGGTTTTAAACGTCCTCCCCCTGCTGCCCCTTGAAATATCATCTTCAATACAAAACCAGAGGATGTGGATGTTCTGCTCAGCGATGGAAAGGAATTGCTTTCTTTACCAAGGAACTCTAAAGCCACTGTGAAACAGAAAGTGTCTTAAAGTTTGCTGTAATGATGAAAACATCAGCCCGAGATGAGGGAGCCAGGGATGACTCAGGGTAAGTCCTGAAACTTACATGACTGTTTGTTTCTAACAACTACGTTGCTTTGCTTTTCCCACTTAACAAAGAGCTCTCAGCTGCATTTGCAAGCTGGCCGGGGAGCTCTCAGCTATACATTCACACTGGTGTGGCATGTTCATGCTGTAATTTACAGTATTTCCTTTAGCTAGCATCTGCAAGCTGAAAACAAACAGCACTACCTTTATTTGACTTGAATCTCAGCTATTTAGGGGAGAATAAGCACAAATTTTGAGCTGCAATTTAGGGAAAGGACAGAAGAGAGATCTGTGCTTTTGGAAACGCTAGGAGTCTTTTCTGGGAGGCTTGCTTTATTTCTGCTGAAATGCTGAGTATTGGGTAAGGGCATCCATGCAAGCTGGCAGTCACTCCAGATCTGTGTAATGAAAGTATGCACAAACCGTGTCCGCAGACTCCCAGGAGACTTCAGGTATACTTTTGATGAGGAAAATATCCCAGGCTTTCCTTGCTCCTGGTGGACAGGCGTTGCAGCTTGCAGGTTCATGCTCCGAGAAAACATAGAGAGGGAGAGAATGGTTTTGATTTGGAGGACAGTCAGCTGCTGGGACTCCAGGATCAGGCTGGAATCTGACCAAAGCTCAGTTATAACTTAAAGCTGATGCCTGAAGCTGAGCATTTCTGTTTCCTGTTTAAAACAATTAGGGGAAAATGACATAGCTGCTGAAAACTTCCATCACCTTCCTTGGAAAAACATGTAATGCCAGATAATAAGAGTGGTTTTTATCTGTCTGATACACTTAGATAGTCTCTTTCCCATGAGTAAGAGCTCCCAGACATGTCTATGATGGGTGCAGTAGAAGCTGTATAGGTTGAGGGATGTGTTATGTTTGCATTTTCAGTCACTGAGTATGCTGCAAGTCAAACTCAAAAATGGTGCTGGCAGGCAGCTATAGCTCCACCATAGCACTGTTCCTAAACACGCACATGGAGTGAAGGGGACAGAAGGAAAACCCTGCTTTCATTGCTTTTGACTTCATATTTTTTACTAAGCTGCCAGGAACAGTGTCATTCCTGTTCAAAGGTACAATTACTCAGTTCAAGTTAATGTCAAACACCAAAGGATAAAGATCACGCACACAGCCTTGAGGAAAAAAATAAAAGAAGCCAATCGCAGTAGACTGACAGGAGGAATTCAATAATCCAAAGAATTTGCACTTTGCAGATATTCCCTGCATTTGTGATAGCGAAGATGCCACGGACTGGGAAAGTGGAAGATTTAAACTGTTTATCTCTTTCTCAGCTTGGTTGAAAGGAGCCACATGCTTGCAAAGATTTGCGGTCAGTTTAGAGCTGCAGAAGAAAATAAGACATAAGCCCTGGACTTGGGCAGTAAATAAGTGATTCCAGGAATGTTGAAGTATGAATGGGCATGGCACATGGGGTTCATAAATAAGTGATCATCTGAATAATTTAACAACATTCCTTTATTTCAGTAACTGATTTTTTTTATCCACCATATTATCTATCTCCCACTCTTAAGTAAGAATTTATGTATTTAAAAATTCTGTTTTAGCTCTGTTTATGTGCCACAATATTCCTGAAGATCCTCAAAATTACACTTCAGCTTGCATACTTTGTAGCCTGCAGCACATTACAGAATTACTCCTGACTAATTTTCTGTTATGGTCACATGCAATTAGGCACGGATTTCATGAAGTATGTGTAGACAAAGTTAGTAACTTTCAAAAGAAATGGTTGTAGAGGTAAGGTGCTGATGGAGAATTTGGGCCCAATTTTAAAATTCTGAGCAGAAAACCTGCACGAGCAATTGCTGAGATTGTGCTTTTATCCACCCAGGTCTTCAGGGTATTAATTAAAGGTGAAAGCTTTCTTACATGCACAGAACTATGACAGTGCAAATCGTTACAGAACTATCTTGGCAATTTGGAAGCTATCCATATATCTATTCCTTGTAATGATTGACAGAGTTCATGTTGCTCGTAGCAAATCAATAGGGAAGTTCTGCTGACTTACACCTCTGAAATGGCCGTAAGACTGGGGAGAAATCTATGTCCAAAACTAAAAGCTCCACAGGGATGAGTGTGGGGAGGAGGGTAACTAAGGGTAACTAACAAAAATCAGTCTTAGTGAATTCTTCCAAAACTGGTTGGTGAAGTTACAACCACTTATCCTGACCTAGAGTCGAGCTAACTTATTTAGGAACATTAATAAGTGATGAGATCACAAAACATCTGGAGAAATGTGAGCTGATTGAGCCTGGTGGCTATGGTTTCGTGAAAAGGTATATGCCTCCATTCCAACATCTGGTAAATGCATGGAGGAGATGATGAGAAGAGCAGATAGGAGCTGAGACAGATGTCACCTGCAGTGTGCAAATATAAATAGTCTTTCAGGATAGTGGCTGGTTCAGGCCATTGGAATGAGTTACAATGGTTCTCACTTTCTGGGTGACCAGGCTAGCTAATGAAGCGATGATTGTACATCTCTTCTGCGACATGTCTACCATCACAATTGACAGTGATTTCATGCAATTTATGTAGAATAAAGAAATGAAGAACTGGAGGAGTCTGAGAATTGAACCTCTCATATTGGTTCACAGAGGACTGTTTTGATTATCTAATCTGATCTCCTGTGCAGAGGAGACCAGAGAACAGTTCTGTTAAGCACTCTGTCAAAACCATCATTTATCCTGGAATGGGATCTTGTAGATAACTTGTTGGCCAAAAAATGTCACCTATCAAGTATCTCTCCTGCAAGATTACACACCTTGCTCTGTAGTGATGTAAATAAATCTAATGCCAACACTTACAGATAAAACAATGAAAAAAAAAAACAAAAAAAAAAACCATAAGTTTTCTCTAGAACTGTCCTATGAGAAGAACTATAAACTAACCTTTTCTGAACTAGTGGACAAGTTCCATTGGCCCTAGGAGGTCTGGGGCACAATGCAAAGTGCTGCTCAAAGAAAACATCGACCTGGAATGTGTGAGATGCAGTGTTTAGGTGGGGTTGGCAGCGGGGAACAAATCAGTATTATCAAATCACTCTGCTGTCTGTCAAGCTCTGATAAAGGAGGAAATTTTCCATTCCCAGAGGATGATGCTACTCAGGAAGGAAATGGCTATGTGTTGCACCAGGATCAGGAAATTACTGCAAACATACAAAGAAAGAGGTGCTCCCTAAAGACCCGTGAGTTTGATGCCTTCAGAGAATGGATTTGAAATCCCCTGGAATTTATTTGACAGAGAATCATGTTTGCTCACTCGTCTTGTGATCACCACCAACCTTAGCGACTGCTTTGAGCATTTGTGCAACAGTGTGCTGGAGCAAAAGACAACTGTCCTTTCTCTTGCTAGGGCACAGACCATGCTGGAAATACTGACCTTGAGTGGGGAACTCCTCATCACTGCAGACAGTCCCATATCAGTGTTCGTAGAATGCAGACACAAACATAAACAGCCTTCTGTTCATCTCCTTTCCTTTCCACTACTGTTTCAGCTAAAGATAGTTTTTCACTTCCTGTCCCAAGTGGGTATGCACAGTTTTGTATTGCTGGCTTTCCAACCTAGAGGCAGTATGGTCTGTAAAATGCACGAGTGCATGCACCTGTCTCTCTCTCTGTGTACTGATACTCACCTTGATCAGTGTGTCCCAGAGAGTAGCTCTGAGGGTTGCTTGGCACAAATTTGGGTTCACTTCAACCTTTACCACACCATATGTATATAGCTGACATATCTAAGAGAGGATTTATTTTTCCTATTTATTCATCCACGAATATGATGAATATGCCCTTTTATGAGGTCAGCAATATAGGCTTGTGAGACTCAGAAGGATCTCTAACATGAACTAAAAAAAAAAAAAAAGACATGAAAAGCAAATAATTAAAATGAATCTATTAGAAAAAGAAGCTGCATCAAGAGTCACTTCTCGGAGCTTTAATTGCTTTCCTGCTTAGATTGCTACAGAGCACAGAAACTTAAGTGAGTTAGTGAAACTAGTCCAACATACTGTCCATCACAAACATTTAGCCATTTTGGAAGGGAGAAGGCTTTTTTCATTTGGGAATAGAAAGAAATATTTCTTTGGAAGGGTAACTAGAAAGAAAAGGCAGCTGTTCAGAATAACTGACCAAATTCTGACCACAAGAACTGTGACAGAATCCACAGATGGATCTGTGAGAAGAGGGTAGGTATTGCCATCAAAGGTGACTAAAAGCTGTGCAGTGTCCCCAAAGTCTCATCAGACTTTCCTAACTATATGTTTGAAGCGTACATGCTGCAAAGACTTTAGATTTACCTTCAGAGAATAACTACAGATTAAAACTGAGAAGAACGGGTGAAAACTGTTTTACTGTAGAAGAGTAGCTTTAAGAAGACTATCAAGAACCAGTGGAAGTAGTTAATGCAAAGTCATGCTTAAAAGCCAATTCTTGCAGCTCTAGAGGGACGTCTCAGGGCTTTAGATCACTCAGTTGTCTTTAATTCAACTTCTGTCCACCCCACCCAATGCACACACACATGCTTTGTAGGGTTCAAAGGAGCTCCCATGACCTCTCACAGCTGGCTGTGGTCCCTACAGAGTCACTTTTCTGTAACCAAACACAAAATCCACCTGCCTCTTCCTTCAACTTCTCCACCCCTGGGATTCCAGCTGGCTGGGCCTTCACACCGGAGCTGACCCCTAAGGAGGTGGGATTACAGATGGATTTCTACCCAGGGGTGACGCAGCCATTTGCCACAGGGTGTTTTGCAGCACTGAAACAGTTTGAGGTAAGGGCTGCAGTCAGCAGTGAGCATGTCCTAATCCTTACAGGCATCTAGGGATGCTATTGCAATGCAGATAAGTAGACTGCTGAGCATTTGGTGCTTATTTTCAATAATCATCCAACAATTCAAGACTTCCTTGCTGATTTTACCTCTCTTTATCACAGTTGTCCCATCCCATTCTCCCTGTTTTGGCAATCCATACAGCACAAGCATGTATGTGGCTGTATTTGA